TGAATAAAGCCGTACCGAGATCTCTATCATTGAAGTCCATATCGAAACTATGATCAGACGTGTCGCTTAACCGGTACAATGGTTCATAAATAGAGCACAATAGAAACGGTCTAGTAGTGTGCTGCCCTGCCGTGGTAACAAAAATGTCTTTGCGGGATATTTACATACTTAAGTTAATAATTTTTGTAGGATATGCACGTCGACTAAGGGCAGTATACAAATATACGAGTGGATAGACTGTTGAATAGAACAATGCGCATTCACTGCGTTTCCTTTGGCCAGTAGCTCATGTGACACAAAAGTGCATTGAGTTAATAATAGCTCAAATCGAACAAACTCTCTGATCAAGAGGTAGATGATCACCAAACTTATCTCACAAAATCTACAGTTCATGAGTAAATATTATGAGTAGTAAACACTACCTCGACAAACGCCATTGGCAATGAAAACCCACGCTTGTTAATGAGGCTTGAATCACATAATAAGCCAGTTTTGCCATAAGTGCTAAGAATAAATCAAAATTACAAGGCAATAGTGTATCTCACGGGTACATCGATTATCGTTTATTGTGTATGATGAGAAAGCAGTGCTAATTGTTATATAACAAGCCGCGGTCAGCGTCTTTCACGTCGGTGTGGACTTTATTTAGGCGTACCCTATGTGTACTCAAGATCACGGCCACGCGGTCACCGGCCGATGTGGCCGTCATATAAATACATGCTCGTTGGTTAGTGGTTACTGCGCCTTCACATTATCGCAACAGTTTTTTTTTTTCTCCCTCATACGACGTTTCGTCCGCGATGATGTCATCGTCATATACACTTATCGCAAACTTACATTCGAATGGCAATACTAGTGTTTCTTTATGTCTGTGGTTTCTTTGCAGTCTCGTTCAATTAGTTTATTTTTTTGTACTTATCGGTTTCCTTACTAGATAGATATAACAAATGCGTAACTGTTATTCTGTGGTACAACAAGTGCGTAAAGTAATAGGGACTTAGGCACTTCTTGTACTAAGTCACTTATACCAAGCTACAGGTATATCAACAGACGAAGTATAGGAAAAGACTCGAGTACTACGACTTGCACCTGCGCTAATTATTAGGTACTATATTTCCTTCATATAACTATCTCATTACTTGGAAAATATCACCTCAGCTTTAATCGCGAAAGGTAAAGACAGTGATCATAGTGACGACGTTAGGCGAGTATATCTCTAGAAGTGTTAGTCTAAAGATGTGATTGCGTTAACTAGCCGGTTGGTTTTGAATAATGCCGAAATTAGAGAAGGTGGAAATCTTGTAAGAAATTTAATAAAGCGAGTAAGTGTATTTGTAGAAGCAGACTTGCAAGTGGAGTGTCGGGGGAGCGTCGTCGCGCGGGCGCGTATCGATCGAGCCTCGCCGCGGCCTGCATACGAACAAGAATCGCCCTCCGTTCAGCCCCTTATCAACCACTTCCACCGGACTAGGCCCTAAGCCCTTCGTTAGTGTCGCGACCTCGCTGATTGTTATGTCAATTCGCCCACTGGGCTATGTCGCAATTAAATCAGAGAATAACTTGCACGTGTATTAAATACCAAGTAATTCAAGCTTTGCAATATTTTATTAGCACGTCGTTAAGCGGAAACATGGCAAATGAGCATTGGAGGTTAATGACACTTCAATTCTTTTTGTTAGGATTTAAAATGAAGCCTTTTTTTCCAAGATGTTATTTACTACGGTGTTCGATAATATAATAAATGCGCAACAAGAGCTAAAAGCAGCGATGACACGATTATTACGTCACAATGTTACGACATGCGGATAAAGCACGCGGGTAAATTACAAAAAAATCTTTCCCCATTTCCCCGACCCAAGGGTTGCGACCTCGTTCCATGGCGATCGCAAGAACAACATATTTACCTAAGCCTAACGATGAGGTCACGGCTGTTTTATTATGTCAGCTATGGACTCTAGCGCCACACTAATTTTTGGGAGCAGTTCATAAAAAAAGGCATATAAACTTTTGTTACAGCAGGTTTATAACCTTTCATTCGGTACATTAAATTATCGTTCTGACCGAATTACCTCGAGTGCTCATCTTACCCTATGTCGGTATAGAAAATGGTTAACTTTTGCCATTTATTGGATGTTGACATTTGCATTTTTACCTTAATGATATTGGGATGAGTTTCCCAGATCAACTTCTTAAATTCATTTTACGCTAGTGTTCACGACAACGCCTCGTGGAATTTTGCAATAGAAATAGTAGGTACATTTTGTTGTAAGGAATAATTTTTGTGGTATGACGGAATGTCGCGACTTTCAAAAATCATAACACTTTTTATGTTCCATTACAAGTTTGAAACTTTTCCTTGTCGGGGATATTTGGCTGATTATGTTTTGGGGGAGAACCCGCTTCTAAAATTGATGCAATTTTCCAGCCGACAACACGCCTACTTATTGCGTCGCGAAATGGCTACGAGTCGCGACGCCTGCTCCCACTAAGTAGGCCAACCAGGCAGGGGGGAATTATAATTTCCATAGATTTATACGCATATAAATTTCGTAACAGGCACCAAAACAGTCAAGTACAATTTGAAATTAATAATGCAAAAATTAATACAAAACCAGCAAAGTTTGAAATTTTCCTTCGTAGCTTGTGTACCTAGTAATTTTCTAGTTTCGCATTGTTAGTTGCTTTATTAGGTTCATTGAACTGCTCTATTGTACGTTGCATCAAGTTACAAATGGAAATAGCCAACGGAGGTGCTAGCCAGTCGCAGGGCCGGAAATAAGCAACTAGCAGCTGAGCCTACGATGGCAATTTATTCAGTCTTCCCGCGAGAGGCGGCCCATATGATTAACCTTCTGCATCCGCTAATCATCAACTGCCTAATGACTATAATCAACACCGAGTTCTATCAAAACCTAAACGCTACTTGCATTAACATCTTTTGTGTTCCACGGTCAAAAGCCACCAGATAGCGAGCAAAAGTGGTGCTATAATCGCACTTGGTAATCTAATAATGTGCTACGGAATTTAAATAAATATAAGTCAACATCAGCAATCAAATCCGCAAGACCCATTCATTAGAAAGACAAGTTAACCTTTTAAAATAGTAGTTCAAAATTATCTGTTTGTTTTGGCGTGGACAATGTCCGCTGGTATGAATGACTACGACTGCCTGATCGATATAGCGACGCCAAATGGTCATGTCGCGACATCTGATGCCCAAATAGCAACAGGGTTTCCTATCGATGACCAACATTTGATTATTTATTTACTGTTGAACTTTGCCTGCTATTTCGTGGAAACATTTGTTAACAGCATATTACCATAATATTTTTTTAAGAAACGATGTTGATTGTCAGAAATAAATATTAACAAAATATGCGTGTAACAACTGGATCACAAAGTACTGAATTGATATGCCTAAGTTATAATAAATTTTATTTCTTTAGATTTCACGTTTAAAAATACATCGTAAAATTTGTTTGTAAATGTGATAATCATCACAATGCGTAAGAGTTACAGTTGCGAAAGATATCGGAACCTATTGTGTGTTTAGGGCACGTGGGACAGCTGCATATTCCCAAAATCACACACAACTTTGATTCAGGCAGATGTTTGCGTCTATACACGCGAAAACGTTTTCAATAGGAAGTTTTATATCGTTGCGTCTTATACGAATGTACTGTAAACATTTATTCTTCATCTTGCGTTTTATCTATTTCATTCCCAGTACAAAAGTAGGTATTATCATACGTATAGATACCATAAGCATAATGAGATCAGCTTTAGAAACTGTTTACTATCTTCTTAAGGCCCCGTGTAAATCGAAATGTACATAATATTATGAGAAGGGATTCAGACCCAGACAATACTACTCCTACGAACACGTTAACGCCCAATATCCAATATAATGAAAATATCGCATTAAAATTTAGTATAAAAAATATGACCATAGGGTATCTAGCAAAATACATTTTTCATTCTAAACTAAGGTAATACCAGCTTAATTGGGCCCGAAGGATGTAATTAAATTTAGTACATTTTAGACGATTCTGTTTAGCGCTTTTCCCATTGTAGTTTGCTGGGCCCCAGGAAGTTATTGATTGCGTAAATTTTGATCGTTTTTATGATAACTTCTATAGAGTTGAAATTAAGACTGCTAGTCCTTTGAAATTTTTAACCCGTACTACCAATGCTCAAAACCGTTACATAAATGTTATATTTCTGCCCTCATTGTCATAAACAACGCATTTGTATTTTGGTACATCGTTTATACCTAACTTGATATTGGCACCTAAGGTATAAAATTTTGCTTAACCATAAAACTGAAAGTGAATAAGATATAAAAAACCACTTATAGGGGGTTGTAGATCTCGTTTCACTGATTCCAGGTATGTTTATAACTTAATTTCGTTAAAATTGTCGATTACATTGATTATGATAAGGACAGCAGATTTGAAGGGTTGCGTTTCTATAGTGAATACATGTAAAGTGTACAGAGAAGATACGTACTTTACATACATGATTGCAGAGAATCGATTCGATCTACTTGTCGATTGCATAAGTCTCGGAACATCTTGGGCCTATCCAGCGAACCGGTTTAGAAGAAACGTGTTAGGAGGTCCTCCAGTAACCGCTTGAAATGTTCAAACTAAGGTTACTTTTCTCCTTGTGACTGACAGTTATTAAACGCGTTGATTTATAATTCCACACCGTTGCAAATATAGGTGGATATTACTGTAGGTAGGTAAAACATGTTTGTAAATATTATTTCTAAATATAGGTGCAATAAGCTAGTATTGTCTTGTATCAAACAATTTTAAATAACTCATCCTTATCGGTAACTTCATAAATTCGCAAAATACCATAACTTAGTCCTTGAACCGTACTTAAGTACCAAAGTGTTATATATACAGCCTCAGCCAAGAATTGAGTCACAGGTCCTATAATTTTTATCTTGATACCTAATTCATACATCCTTCGCAACGAGGTTGTTTTCTTACCTGTTCGACACGAATCAGAAATCAGCGTCAATAAGCGCGGGATAATCGTAGAAGCCTCTAAAAACTACCAAACATCCTGATTCAATCAGGACGCACACTTACACTGGTAACAACGTTTCAGCAAGCCACTAAACAGTCAGCATTTAGAATTTTCCACAATGTTTCGAAAGCCGGTGTCGTATAAGTATTGGAGAACGTAGGGTATAGTGTACCGCCGCAGTGCGGTGTCTCGGGTAGACTGGCGCGGTCTGGCGGACGGTCGGCGATCGGCGGGTGGAGACCGCTAGAATGACGCGCGTCGCTATCGCCGCCGCTGCCTCGCCGCCACAGTCGCCGTGAAGGATCCTCGGAATTGCCCAAGGGAACCAACCATAATTTGAACTGTTCCCTTAACCCTTCTACTTAGACTCTTAAGAAGAGCTTTTGTCCGTAACTTGTTTTCCTGTCGCTATAAGGCAAGTGCATTTTCAAACAACCAGTTCAAAATCTTGTTCCTTCATATTATATGTATATCTACTCATCCGAAGAAAAGAGTGCGATGTGCTTTTATAGCGAAAAGAAAATACGAATGTTACGAGAATAATTTCGTTATTCAAAGTAAGGTCTATGTAAAGGTGTTTTGAGAATTTTTTATATCTTATTTCGTTCGGAAATATAAAATCAAACAACGGTCGATCTGACATCCACAGCGAAGAAGAACGAACGTAATATACTATGTACTGAGAACAAGTAGTGTTGCACATAAGTCTTTGTTCTACGGATGAGTCGATATTATTGTCTATAAATGTAAGTATCTAATATTGCTTATCTGCGATTTGCCCCTCGTATACTTAGAGTAATTTCCGTAATATCATGGTACCGGACGGATTTCCTTTCGTAACTTAATTTAATCAAATAATAGCACTAGGCATATTACATGATATTTTAACAAGAACCGGTTTGTAAACTTCCAAATTCGCTAGTTCTGGCTACTTGTGTCATGACGACGGAAAATTGTTAATATACATAAAAAACGCTCAGCTCACAAGATCTAGGAGACTATTAAATTACTTTGAACAGATATTTAAATCACAAGGTGTGGTCCACTCGCACTGCCGCGTGTCAAATAGATGTTTATTCAAGAATTTATTGTTATCATATTTCTTGTAACGAAAGACCACCTCCGTAATTTATCTTATATAAATTTTACTTACAATTTTAAGTAACGCTTACTACGTATTTAATTAATTCAGATTGCATTGCAAAGTGAGCTTCGGTAATCGTTTTGCTCACGGAATCCCTAAATTTGTCGCGTCGTTCGTCGGCAGACGACAGCTTGTCCCGTAGTTGAATAAATAAAATTCCGGGTAAATTAATTACCTACTGTGTAACCGTAAGCTGACACTCGCGCGACCATCCCCCTCGCCCGCCACACTATAGTATATTCGCCGTGCACCATTGAACCATGAAGGTATAGTTCATAATTAATTACACTATTACCAAGTATAGCTTAATTTTAGTCTCCATTAACCGGTTATCCATAAGGGTTAAATGTTTTAAAAATAACCGGTTTAAATATACAATTATGGTATCGATGTCTTTTTATTTCCCATCTATTCTAATCGCATTGAATTTTATGAACGACCAGCTATTCATAGCATCGTTTATAGGAACTTTCGGTGCAATGTTGAAAGGAACATTGTTTTTTTATTTTAACTCTCAAAATTCTTACTCAATTAAAGACTTGGTACCAGTCAGTACACATAAACTTTTCGACCAATACATAACTTGCCCCTTGCTTCGTGGTTCGCCCTCTGCTGAAGGTTTTTATTATTAGAAACGGTCTTTGTAACAGAAAAAGTTGTACTGCAAGCGACATCTTTCAAGCTTTCGAGCGCAAAAGTGGTACGAACAACGCATGATAGATGGCGCTACATCCTCTTTCAACCGTGGGGCAAAATCAAATAAACGTTGGATTATAAAGGTAGACACGCATCTACCAACATTAACACATAATTCTACAGTAATTATTAATTTTACAAATCGCTTCAATGAACGTCTATTTGTTTTTAAGGCGCTATTATTTAGTATAAATTTAATATTCCGCGGTAAGATACCTTTTCACATTTTTTAAGTCATTAAGGTATGACAATCATGGGGTTGATATATTTCGAAACTTGCTTGAGTTAGCCACATAAAGTGCACTTTAATTTACTGTCACGATTTTTTTTTTAATCGTGAATCACAAAATGAGTATAATCGAATATCGTAATTAATTTTAAAACTATGGCAAGTGTAATAACGACTACAATTAAAAAGGCAATTTCAAAATTTAAGTCATATTACGTTGAAAAACATATATTTACAATGCATAACGTTTTTTTACATATTTTTAAAACAATCACATCGGTTTTTCTCGAAATTCTGTAATTTTATGAATTAAAATAGTATTATTTGATAACGTATTTTAACATGGTTATACATTTTCTACCGGTCGGGGCTTCAACATTTGTGATTCCAAAATGGGCATTGTCAAGTCTCTCCCCGGAGAACGCCATGCCCAAGAATATTACCTGTACCACATTGCAATAATTAGAGCGAATTAGATACCAAGTAAATTTAGTTAGACAGAAACTGCACGCTTAGCTTCACATTTTTAAACCGATTCTTATTTCTTGAATTTATAACCGACTATAGTACTGTTCCATTAATGTTATTAGCCGCTTACTAACTGAGCGAGCAGCCTCGACCGAAGCGCGACGATTTGCCGCGCGAAGAAAAGCCGACCGAGCACGAGCTTGGCCTCGCGAGGCGAGGTAAATATTTTGGCCTGCTGTGTTTTATTTCGTTCGAGTTGGCGAACACCTTTGACGCATGTTTCTCTATGGCCTTTGCGAACCACGAAACGTCAAAGTTGTCAAGAGTCGCCATTACATGTTATTATCCACTTTTATTGAAAGAAACTACTTTTGTTGAAAGAAATTGTGCATGTCAAATGAAAGCGAGCGCGGGACACTTCAATAGTTTTGTATAATTATATTTTCCTGTGGTAAGTTTGTTTTACAATTTTATTCTTTATAATAATACAATATAAATGTATAATATATTCTTCTTGTCTCTTGAGAATATTCTGAGCGCAGATTCAAAGGATTTTAGATCTTGTAATATTTAGTACAAGTTATACTGATTTCGTGTAAGGTGGTAGGAAAATACTAAAACCTCAAGTTTTCACTTCTAAATTTTTCTTAATTTTGGATACGTAGAAATGTAGCATAATTATATTAAGGATAGAAAATAAATTCTAAATAAGGTATCTTTTTGTTCATACGATCACAAGCGAGCATAGAAAAGTAATATTTTTTTAAATTAATATTTCTAATATTCGTAATTTATTTAAGTGTTCATAGATGGCGCCTCCTCGAAGAATAGTGCGGCCACAATTAGATATGCTAATAAATTTTCTTGAAGAGAACCAAGATGCAATACATGGAGGGCCCCAAGGAGGAACATCCATAGCTGTGACACGGAAAAAATGGATGATACTCGCTAAGAAGTTAAACTCTGTCCAGGGAGGTACTATGAAGACTCCGGAAGCTTGGAAAAAGGTTCCTGTATACTGTTTATTTTTAAGCTTTTTCTAGTAATAGGTACTTTCACTCAGCAGAACAGAATAATTTAGGAGCTTAGGAACAAAAACCGATAAATCTGATAATTTTGATTCTAATTTCGTCTAGTCTTGTGGAATGGATTTCTCATATTGTACTCAGATCCATACATTTGAAACATTGCTGTTTTTAATTATACAAATATTAAATTATTTGTAAAAACATATAAAAACTATCATTTGGCATTATAAAACAAGAAACATTCATAATATGACTTAGCGGTTTTTGTTCCAATGCTCCTCAATTTATTTCATATTATCAATGTCCAATATTACACTTTCAAATATAATGTCAAGGGATACATGATCGTCACTAATATACCATAATGAATATAAAATTACAATCTTCAAAAGGAATTCCACAACATTGTAAAATCCATTATCAGTTTAGACAGGTATATAACATTTCATTGTTTGTAATACTGCAGATTTATAGACAGATGTTTGTTGAATCAGGGACCTATTATGTATGTACAGGAACCAACAAATGAATGGGAACAGAGTCACCAATTTAATAGATACAATATAAGTAGTAGCCCTAATCTGTATGTAGTGCTATTAGAAATATAGTTGCGAATTTCACTTTGTTAACCAATTTCAAAAAAGTAGAAGATTCTCAATTCATCTGTTTTTTTTTAATGTATGTTATGCAATAACTCCTGTTAGAAATAGGGTACCTCAGTATTGGTCCTATTTAAATTTGAAGAAAATATGCCACCTTGCAAGGGTGGCAAACTATGCGATGAATCCGGTTTCGCGCACTTTACGGTAACCAATTTCAATAAAACTTGGCAGATAGATGTAATTCCACTAACTTTTGAGTTCGTTTTTTTTTATAAAAAAAGTTATAATTATTTGATATTGAGTGCTTAGGTTTCACATTTGTTGTACACAGGAAATGTAACTATTTATTTTATTGTTACAGATTTAATTTGCTTAATTTTTTTTATGAATATGAATATAATTATTAATACAAAGATCGAACACTCAGAAAAAATTCCTTCGATTTGGATCAAAGGAATTTTTTCTGAGTGTTCGATCTTTGTATTAATAATTATAACAAACTAGTGGAGTAATTTCACAAAAAATAATTGAATATCAATTCAATAAAAATTTAATCAATATGAATATAGTTTTTTTTTCTGTGTTAAATCTTTGTATTCATAATCATAACAAAAACACAAAAAAAAACACAAGAAATCTCATATATAAATATAAATACTTTTTTCTTCAAACATACCAATTTTTCGGGCTCTTTACTGGTCCAATAGTCACAGCTCACTGATATACAGTTGTACTTTTATTTCAAGTTTCTTTGATGTTTTGCTGTTGTAATGTTCATTCCTATGTGCAACTTCTTGTCCCTGATACACTGGTGGTAGTGCCTTATTTTATTGGAAAAACCCAATAAAATAAGACAATACCAGTAGCAGTATTTTTTCACCCATGATATAATAATATTAATAATTTTACTTGAATAATTATTCACAACTTTCAGTATTGGTTTGAATGGCGTCACAAATGTAGAAAAAAAGCAGCCGACACTAGGAGATATGATACAGAAGCCTATAAAGGAAGAAACAGATTTATTCCTCTGAATGATTTAGAAGTTAGAGTTTTAGAGCTTTGCGGAAAGGCTTCAAGTGAAAGTACAGTTGGCCCTTCGGTTTCGCAAATTGAAAATGATGAAGAATATTTACATGACGGTCTCACATCTGATTCAGTAGAACCATTGGATGTCAAAGAGCTGAGTACTCCTGCTACTAAGACAGAAAAATCTAGTACTTGGAAATCTATAAACTTAAACAGTACAGGTAATTTATTAAGTTAGCATTTATTCAAGAACTAATTATCTTGTTATTTACCTACTTAAACAAAAATTATATATACTTATGGTTTTTGAAAGATAGCATATAATATTAGATTTAGATTCTAAAAGTTTTGACAATCACCCTGTCACAAACTGCCCGTACTGCTGACTTGCCAGAGCAAGTGAATCCATACCGGGGTACTACATAGATCAAAGCCATTTTTGAAAAGTTGATTACTCAAATTAGCTCTACAAGGAATCGAACCTGGGACCTCCTCATCTAGTGCCGACAGGGCAAACCGTGGGCCCACCTAGGCATCAACGAATCTTGTACTTCATATTTTTTTAGTAGCGAAACTATGTGTCAGGTGCCATGGATACACACATAGGCAACTACAAATTACACCAAAACCCACGAGAGAAATAAATAGTAGTCCATACAAATAATTGTCCCGGCTCGAGAATGGAACCCGGGAGCTCTGCATGCCAGACCAGCATGGTAACCGTTTGGCCACGGGGGCAGTTTATTATTGTTAAAAAAATATTTTTGAAATTATATATATATTTGGACACAAATTTTTGTGCAGTTTTTCTTTATTTTCTCCTTTTTTTTCAGAAGCTAATTCTGAACGAGCCTCACCACCACCTAGCTGGGTATTAAATTTAGAAGAACGTAAAATACTAATAGAAGAAAGAACAGCAGATGCATTAGAGTCAATAGTTTCCCTTATGAGGAATCAAGAGGAGCGCCGTAACATGGTCGAAGTACGGATAGCTGATGCCCTGACAGCTATGGCTGGAACTCTGCAAGATCTCAACAGTGGAATCCAAGAAGCTATTCAACATTTGCAGCAGTTGCATCCCATACAGACTGAATGGTCCTCATTGAAGAAGGATATATTGTAATTTGTTTTGCTACAATCACTGTGCCAGGGAAAATTGTATGTATCCAAATGTAGGAAGATTGTAAACTAACTGCCCATACTATATTATAGTCATGTCTAAAACTATGGCTCGATCACAAAAAGCTATTGTGATAAAGCAACTCGTTTTTATAGAGTTGTAATAGTCAAATGTAGTTGATATTGTATACAAAACTAGTAGTCAATTTCATACGCTTATCAATAAAATAAGTATCATAATCAGAAAATCTTTTATTTATTATTTACCAATTGCATAAGCTTAATATTTTTAGGGTCGTATTCTAGAACTCTACTCAATGCTCAAGTCAGGATTTGAGGAGACTTGAGTATGATTTGAAGCAATGGAAATACGACCCTAATGGCAAGGACTTGAGTATGATTTCTAGTGCTTTGAATCATACTCAAGTCCTGACTTGAGCATTGAGTAGAGTTCTAGAATACGACACTCAGTCATTTTGTTACTGTACTGTTTCAAAATGAGAATTAATATTTAAGCCTTTATTGCCCAGATAAAAAGATACTTCCTCATTTAATTTTGTGTATGTGTGTAAAATATGAATAAATGATTTGGTTTCCTGTAATTAATAAAGTAAAGCGCCCATCTTACGTATAAAAAAACTTTTTTACGTAAGAAAATGGGTGCTTTATTCACGATTTAATTTTCGTTTGCTCTGTTCGTCGCTGTATGTTCAAAATCGTAGTATTCTATACTGCGTTATTGTACAAAGCATAGGTTCCCAAACTTTTTGGCAAGAAAATTTTGAAAATTGGCAAAAAACGATACGAAAAAAAAATTGTAGTGTAGTTTATATAAATTATTAAGGTTTTTTTAAATCGAATGCGGCGGTAGCACCCCCTGGACAGCATCAACGTCCCCGAATTGCTCCCGAGGCCCTAGGGCTCTTCAGCGCTCACTATCAGTATGTCTATGCAATAGGGGCGAAAAAAACATTGCGAGAAACGCACGTCTTTTTGGCTCTTGTTACATAAAGCTTTTCCGAGCCGATTAATGCGATTCCGAAGTCTCTTTATGGAAACAAACAAACAAGTGCGAACTATTTACAGATAATTATATTTAAACTAAAGATATACACCAAAATGCATTTATACATTTGAGTGCGTTATTCCTGTTGTTGTATTCGTATATAAAATTACTTATTTTATTTACTTTTTCTTTGCAGGTATGGAAGCGTTGGAGACGAGTATAAACTACTGGGAAGATGCGTTAGCGGCATTCAGCCTGGGCGCTCGGGGAGGCGTCACGGGCACTCTGGCGCTCACTTCGCCAGAGGAAGCAGAGTTCTGTCGCGAGATCCAAGATTTATTACAGAACGCTTATTTATTGCAGGTAGGTATGTGTGTTGTACATACTCGTGTTATGACTTACATTGGATAGTGTAAACGGCACAATGCAATTTTACATTAAATAAATACGTACTTGGCGATTAATTTTGTAATTTATTAATAATTATATATAATTATGTCTATCTCTTACTGTATCGCATTCTAGCATCACTTATTGCAAATTGACTGAAAGACAAATCGACAACAGTTAGCTCCCTAGGCGCTTGACAAGCCAATGAACTTATCTAAATTGGTTGTCTGGGTATTGTGATTGTGCTCCCGGCGTTACTGTTATCTTGGTTCCCATATTACTGTGAATTTTCTAAGCCTATTTAGCATTGTTTTATTGATTATATAATCAATATGTATTTATATATATATATATATATTTATACATATATATTTCTATTGATTAATGAAATTGTGTGCCATTCTGTGATTATTATTATAAGTAATAGGTTGTAGGTGGGTGTATGTAGGTGGTTTTCAATATTGTAATTTATTTATCTGCGATTTTGAACACTTGTAATAGTCATGTAGTAGGTACTTATAACACTAAATTGTTGTGACTTTATTTAAAAGATCTCCTATAAGATCTTTATTTCATTTCAATAAATAAATAAAGAATTGTCTATGTACAGGGTAACACGATTCTTTTTTTCACTTCAACTGTTTCTTACTTACTGCCAAACATTTTTCTTACGGCAACCAAGACTTTTTATTTCTTGAAGAAGTGACGTAGGTAGGTAGTTGTTACAACAACGGTCCGAAGCCGGATCCTAAACGGCCACCATAAAAAATGAATAGATTTTTAAAATTAACATTTATATTATTTATTTACTATCTACTTAAAAAATTTAATAAAGTATAATTTTAGCTTTCAGCTAAAACTGAATTTTCTCCACACCACCATCACTATAGGTACTACCACACACCTTTGCCTCAAAGGTAGCCAAAGCTTTTAAAAGTGCAAGACGACTTTAAATTTGAGTCGCCTCAAATTGCCGAAGACGAGCGGTACGACGCTGCATTGCATTACAACAACCAATGCAACATAAATTTTATCTTCTACACAATAAGGTTACATTTCCATAAACAAAAAATGAAAAAGAAGATGCAACGATAGCGGGCGGCGTAGAGCTACTTGAGAAATGAACTTTTCTGAAGTGTTTCAGGTCTGGGTGTTCTAGGTATTGACTTGGAGTGAATTCTGTTGCCCTTGGTCCGGGGTCCGGTTCTCGGTAGGACCAATTTGGGAAATGAACTTTTCTAAATAACTAAAGACAACTTGCTTTTTTTGTAATCTTACGTTTCAACCAAATAATCCTACTTACATGAATGCCAAAAAGATGCCCTAAAAGTTCCCGTTCACGCATTACAGAGTAACTATAATGTACATGACTTCATCTTTGGCCTAATGCCTGTACAAACAAACAGGTACAATTTCCAATTGTATTTCCGGGTTTTCACTTCATATTTGTCCCTTGAAATAGTTTTTCCTAAAATATCTTAGTCCTCCAATGAGGAATAAATTATATGACAACACAATGCAATGGTGTGAAAATTTTTAGGAGCGATGCGAGCTTCTCTTCTTAGACCAGCGATCGGTGTTATTTCGTTCTGAAAGCGGCGGACCTCCGGTGGGCGGGCCGGAGGGCTCAGCGGCGGAGGGCAGACGCTCACGTCTCTTGTCTACACACACTGGCTCGTCACACACTAAACGCGAGCACCATTCCAGTGCAGAGTCTTTCGCGAGTGCCGAGGATGAGGTACGCAACATCACGTTAAAGACTGATGAATTTCTTTCGGACCACACCATTTCTTTGGTATAATCAATCATAATCAATATTGTATAATGTATCGATATCTTAGGTTTTCGCGGTTGATACACATTGGAAATGAAACTTTAATTCGACACTGGAATGCAATCTTGTCGTATCTCGAAAAATTTAACTTGTAATGTGCCATGTAGCATTTTTCTGTTTTGTCAAAAACTGACATCGAATAGCAAGAATAGCATGACGATTCCTAGACCAAAACATGCGGATTTTTTTTAATGATTCCAAATTTATAAAAAGTCATTTTGTTAATTATTCGAGTTACGACAAGATTGCTTTCCAGTGTCGTTACTATTTTTCGGTTCTAAGACGCGTATATTTATTTTTTAAAACAAATCAACGTGGTCTTTACAGGGCCCAAGAATGCTAATTTTAAATCCTCTCAATTCCGTGTCAATGGCAGGATTTTGTACGTTTAGGTTTAGTATTCTGTTAAAAGTTAAGATTAGTGGCTAGCCATCAAGCTACCGTTCAACTGTCATTGCAATTTTTTGGTACTCAGCTCTTCAATGGCGATTCGTTGGCGTAATCTACTAATTATCTGACATAAACGTTGTTTTAAGTTTCAACAAAGTGACAAATTAAAATAGCCAAAAAGTCAGGATCGAGATTAATATTTTTAAATATTAAGACCTTTTAAGGTCTTTTCATTTTAGTGGTTCATCAAAATCAAATAGTACCCAAAATTTTGCTATAATTTTGCTAGAAAGTTTGCTAGAGTTTACCTCTCGACTTCTTGTATAGTAGCGTTTATAATACTGCCGTCTAATAATTAAAACGCGGCAACAGATAGAGCACAAAATTATATTTTAAGAACAGTTAAAATTAGTTAACGTGTTCGACTTATCGGAACTTACCTTAACGATGCATAGCTGAAATATCATTAAACCATTTAAATATTCTAAAACTGGGTTATGGCTTTTCATATCTCAAAAAATATTTTGTCATTTAGCCGCGTTCTAGTTAGCGGACGGACGGCAGAATAAACGGAACCGACTTTTACCAATTAATGTACGTAATGAGAAACGGTCTTTACCCATCATAATTTTGTTAAATTTGAGAACAAAATTCGTAGCCTTAATTAATTGTAAAACATTCCGCAACAGGACGAGACTCCGATACTAACTTGTCAGTGTTTATCGATATTTGAATATGTGATCTATTAATTCAAGCTGGTTTAGCAGTAAACTACTGTTGTCAGCGGTTTCGCAGTAACTTTTAGCCTAGTCGTTTTTAACTGGTAACAGTTTAATGACAATTGATTACTATCCCTAATAAAATAATTTCTTATTTCAGGTAGCTGATTTGAGAGATTTTGACGACTTCACAGATCTAGCGCCAGAAATAGAAAATCTAGAATTATACCAAATTGCACTAAAACAGTTAGAAGTCGGTATTCCATACAGGTAAAGAATGTTCCCCAACAGACAGGTCTCAGCACCTAATGTCTATGTTTTTAAATTATTGTATTCAAACAGACGTGTCCATCTACTTTGCATAAAATATGTCTAGTTTCTCGGAAATAATATGCGAAACTTAATCTGAAATTTACCACGAGTATTTCGGTGAAGAAAAATATCGTGATGAAACCTACACGTCGAAGAAGGTTCACAACCCTAGGAAACTTTGTAAAGTCCCCAATCCGCATAAATGGGTTATTGATGACCATTATTGATCTAGTAACCACGTATTTTTTTTTTAACACTCAACATAGCCCCGCACTAGGGAAACCCTGTGTCGCGGGTGCCATGGACACACACATAGACAAGCACAAATTACACCCAAACTCACGAGAGAAATAAATGTAGGTCATACAAATATTTCTCCCTGCCCGGGAATCGAACCTGGGACCTCTGCGTGGCAGTCCGGCATGGTAACCGTTCGGCCACGGAGGCAGTAAATAAACATAACATTGATAAGTTCTGTTTGCAGGACTAATTTATTCCATAGATTTCACGAACATTGTTCCACAAAGCTTCAGAAGTATTTTCGTACCTATTTACTTAATTGTATACAAAATAATTTCAATATAACCACAGACTAAAAGCGAACTCCAACTAATATAGTGTTTTTTTTAATTGGTCAGTATGGGGAAATCTCAAATCATATAAGATAAATTAAGGTCTTATGAACAATTAAGTCTTTTTTGTGAAAACAATTTTAGCATTGTCAACTTTTTTGGTCAAGAGTGACTTGTCCATAACAATAAATGAAATTGAACAAAACTTCTTTTTCACTTCTCATGCTCGTAAAGTTGGTTGTAGGCTGCACTAAATAGGATTTTATGCTCTGGTGCATAAAATAAAAAACCATCACATTAAATATGTCTATAGTCTTCACCAAATAAGAGGCCAAATTTGACACTTGTCATCGTGACGCGAATAGGGATGTGGACTAATCATATCCGTAATCACATTCTACGATTTTCACGAGAAATCGATTCAAAATTTTAAGAGTTTGTGATTGTTTAGATTATTTTTCGGTTCATTGTTGTTCAGGGGGCCTAAAAGGAAAAATCGTTCAATTCAGTTAAAAGCAATTCATTTTCATAATTTTTTGCAATTCCTCTTATTTTCGTAAAATTGTCCCACATTTCGACTAATTGTATCCAATTGTTTTGATTTTATAATATTCATAAATGGTTTATTACGATAATTTAGTGTAAATAAGTATGTTCATCAATAAAACAACTACACAAGTCAATATTTTTTCCGAGAAATCGAAGTGACTCGGTGAAATTCGGCGATTAATTGCTTACAACACTATTATTTAAGAAATAATAGCTTGAGGACGTAACTGTTTTCAGGACGTTTCGGAGTAACTCAAAACTGCATTTTATTTTGTAATTCGTGCGAAAACAGTAGTTCATATGTGTTTTGTCATATTATATAATGTTTCAATAAAATTATGTATTTTCTTTTAAACTCGATTATGCTAATAATTGTTTGTTTATTGTTTTGTTGATCGCATTCAAAATTACATACGATCGCCTTCTTTAGCTGTCAAATTTGGCTTCTTATTTGGTGACGACTATAATTGTTGTAATTTAACATTCAATTTTAATTATATAATCATTTATTTGTAATGTTACTGTTTAATTTCCTCGCAATCGAAGTGAAAAGCAGAGTGTCGCGTTTTATGCACTTGTTGTACAATCTACTGTTCGTGCTGATTGACTCAGTTTTATGTAAGGATCATTTCATTGTATGCGACGAACAAAATCGGGACAGCAGAAGTTGGTAAATTTCATACAATGTTTGTCAAACAAAATGACTAAACTTGACAATATTTTTTAATGCTGATAGAGTCAGCTTATGGAAAGGATGATTTGATTGTGTGGGACGAAAAAAATCGAGACAGCAGAAGTTGGTCATATTTAATAAAATGATCTTTCATACAGTCTTTCGTCAATTTTATTAATTTTGTATGAAAAAATATTTATGAAATTTAACCAACTTTTGCTGTCCAGATTTTTTCGTCTCATGCAATGAAATGATCCCGCCATGAAACTGAGTCGATCAGCACTATATATATAGTTATTTTTATGGACAACTCACGCTTGACCAGAAAGTTGACTATGCCAGAAATTGTTTTCACAAAAAATAAATTTAATGGTTCCTAAGACAGCTTCCTTGTATCTTGTATGGAGTTCAGATTTCCCCATACTGTCCCATTTTAAAATTAATAAAGCACACGCTGTATATTTCAGAACACTTCGCACAGACGTGGTCCAGTGTTCGTCAGACTCTGAATTCCTGTGTAAGCTGCACTGCCTGCGGCTGGCATTCCAATACGTCTTCAAGGACGCCGCTGTCTGGGCATGGTTTGTGGACGCTGGCCGTCAAGTGCTTACGGACCTGCTGCTTTTTGCTGACAAGGTAACAAAGTAGTCTTTTATAATTGTGTCGTTCATTGTAAAAGTGGTGTAAGTCTATATTTAAAAACATTTTTTTGCTAAATGGCATCACATTTCATCATAATCTTTCATATTATCATACCTTCAATTTGTATTAAACAATGAAAATAATAATAATAACGCACACACTCAACATAGCCCCGCACTAGGGAAACCCTGTGTCGCGGGTGCCATGGACACACACATAGACAACTACAAATTACAACCAACATCACGAGAGCTATAAATGTAGGTCATACAAATATTTTTCCCGGCCCGGGAATCGAACCTGGGATCTCTCAGTGGCAGTCCGACTTGGTAACCGTTCGGCTACGGAGGCAGTTCACTGAATGAACACTTGTTTTTTTTCCTATTCATTAATTTGCAAAAGATCGTTACTTCAAAATTTAATTACAAGGAGATAATTCACTTTACAACGAACGACACCATTATTAATACAAAAATCAAACAAATACAAAAAATTCATTCGAAGAAATAGATTTTAAAGTTAAAAGAAAAGTTGTTATAAACCAAAATCAAAGACCTACAACAAGCGCATATAAAAATTCGTAAAATTTCTGGTTCGTTCCGTGGCTTAGTTGGCATAACGTCTAACACGGTTTACTAGAAGACACTAGTTCCAAGGATTTTTTCTAAGTCGAACACTTAGTATTAATAGTTATAACAAAGTAATTTCACAAAAAATAATAGAATATCATGGTGGTGAAACATCCTGTCATTCAATAAACTGTACTTTAAAGCACTCTTTAATTTTGGTTTCCAATATTTGGAGACTTATTTTTTTTATTGACTTCCAGGAACCTAAAGAATTTTTAGTCGCCTACGAAGAAATGGTGTCATGGGCAACAGATGTCGCTAACTGGCATTTGATAGAAAATGAACTTTCCAGTAAAGGGGTCAAGGTAAGATCGTGATCGTGTGCATCCCTTTTTAAAACTCATTACATAGTCAAGCAGTTTGACACCTCTTTTCTCCATCGTGTTGTAAGAAAACGATTCTTTTTGCGATCCTAGCAGCTTTTTCATTCGCACTATCTTTATGTCTACTGTGCCTCTCCCATGACAAATTTTTTTCGTTAGACGCACAATTTAATCGCACTCCTCGTTTGGTGCATATAAAAGTTAGCAAGATCTGTGAGCGTGGTTGGATCAGAAAGCGTCCTATCGCTAGCGATAACAGCTTCAAATATTTGCATATAAAACGTTATTTCTCGTAACCGCTATGGGCGCCGATTTCATTTGCCATACAAAATTGTCAAACATCTTACAAAGTAGATGTAATCAAACTGTCTGTAATCTCATATAGCGTTTTCCTTTATGACGCAATACGAAGTTATTATGGTCGGGCTAGGACGCTTTCAGATCCAACCACGCTCACAGATCTTGATAACTTTTATAACAACGCGTCTAACGAAAAAATTTTGACGCTATCAAGTACTCTTTTGGCAATATCGGGTAATTTAAACTATGACTGTGAAAATGGAAATGGGAATGGGAGTGAAATTTTGTATTTTCAACTAGATATGAGCCAAGAAATGAAGATTTTTCTAATGAAGATAAAAAATTCTTCACTCAGAGCTATAGAAGAGCTATAGTCTCGTATATAATAATGTACCAGACAACCATACTAATTACCTGGTCTCAAACCAAACGAATTCCCTGTACTATGAGTACCAAACCAATGGAATTCCAAAACACCCAGACAAGAAACAATTTAGGAAAATTCATATTCCAAATTAATCCTACCAAGAATCGACCCCGGGACCTCCTCGTCCAGCGTCTACAGTGCAAACCGTTGGGTACAAAAGGTACAAATTTTTGGAATAAGTTTTTATAGTTTTTAAATAAATACTGGTAATCCGAGGTACACCCGCCATATTGACAGTGAATACGGCGGGTGTACCTTTGATATTGCTATAACTTCGTTCTGATGGAGGTACAAATTTTTTAAACAGAGGTACTAAATATTACAAATTATGTACATTTTTTTAATACCAAATTCGTCAGGACCCGTTAAGGTACACCCGCCATTCTGACTCTCACGGTAAATATGTATTAGTGTGTATTAGTAATCTTCAATGCTTCATACTCGAAAATCCATTAGGTACTAATTTAGTGAGACAACAGCTAACGACCCATCAATACGAATAGCTGACGATACGAAGCGCCTGTTTATTTGTGCATGAAGTGTGTAACGCGCAGGTACTCACCTTCTACGACGTAGTGCTGGACTACATCCTGCTGGATGCCTTCGAAGACCTTGCCTCGCCGCCATCCTCTGTACTGGCTGTTGTTAGAAATCGGTGGCTTTCAGACGGATTCAAAGAAAGTGTAAGTCATTTACGTCAATTCAATTATCTTTTACGTTTTTTACGTAACGATTACCATGCTGGGCTGTCACGCAGAGGTCCCGGGTTCGATGGCCGGGAGAAGTATTCGTACGGGTTATATGAGTTTGGGTGTAATTTGTGCTTGTCTCTGTGTCCATGGCATCCGCGATCCGCGAATCTCCCTAGTGCGGGGCAATGAGTGTGTGCTTAATAATAATAAAAAAAAATGTTTCATGAATAAAACGTCCTCCGAATACATCCAACAAATAATTGGCGTTATTTTTAGGCCCAATTTACATTGTGACGGAACGGATGGAAGCGAATTTTTGTGACGAAATTGTACATAGTACCGTGAACCAATAACTAAAAAAGACTGCTAATCACGATACAAGACAACATAGCCGGGTATTTAGCACCTATTGTTACACCAGATGTCCATACCAAATAGCTGTAATTATTAAAAAAGCATTTACATTGCCAACCTATTCAAATTTCTAGTGACAAACAAATCAACTAGATGGCGCTTATTGCACTGATCTTTATATTGCCGGCTGTTTTTATTTTGTTTAAGATTAGCGCCATCTATATATACCACGGTCAATATTTGAATATTACAAGGAAAAAACCAACTTATTTTCCTTATATTTCTTAGGAATTAATTGATGTCCACGGCCATTTATATAAATTCCAAGCTATTGATTAACGCCATATATAAAACGGAATTTGGCCTTTTTCAGAGTCCACACTACGGTCGTAGTGTGGACATTAGTAGTCCTTTTGTGTTATTGATCCATAACATAATTTGTAGATACGATACGGTAGCTGCGGGAATTCCCGAGACTGCGCGAGTATTCTCCAGAATACATGTTTAATGGCTCGTACCTAGTTTGTACTTTACGCAATTTTCAGTATGCTATGGTGACAAAATTCCGCTTCCATTCCATTTCGCAACACTCTAAATTGAGCCTTAGAAATAAGGGTGTTTTATATTTTCCAGGCATTAACGACAGCAGTATGGTCCGTGATAAAGGCGAAGCGACGCTATCTCCAGTACCCTGACGGCTTCATGGCCCATTTCTACTCGATATCCGAACACCTACTACCAGTTCTCGTATGGGGTTTCCTCGGCCCCAGAGAGCGATTACGCGACGTATGCCAAACTTTCCAATCAGAAATAGTTGGGTTTATTGCGGACTTGTTCAGTTTTCACAAATGCCGATATACAAACGTCGACGACCTCTCCAGTGATATAATGCAACACGCCAGATGTCGCGCCGCTAACATCACAGACAAACTAGCGGAAAGAAATTAAATCAACGTAAACTTAAGCTAAAGTGACAACAATCCTTCGAGTCACTTACGAACAAAACATCTTTATTATAGCCTTAGAAAGAACAAAAATAAAATCAGAAAGCACATTCCGATACCGAGTGAGTTAAGGTATGCCGTAATTTTTGTCCAAGTTTCGCTGACAACAGGTGTTCACGCGTTCAAGCCTAGCTTTTTTTTGTTGGATCGCATGCTTGGGACAACGCAATTGGATCGTTACAAAACGTCACGCCTTCAGACGTAGTCCCTAAGGTTAAGGGTAATAGTAGGCTAATATTTCTACAGACTGTTTAGCTGTAAGAAAAAATGTACTTCTTCCGCATTTTTAGTTTTCACTAAGCATTTAATATAGTTGAGAAAATATTAAATTGTATTTCAAATATTTAAAAAAATACACTTATGATAAGAACAAACCAACTTCCTTTTGTGAATTACGAAATAAATTAATAGAAACATTTACAGATGTCAATTTTAATATAGATGAACAAAGTGACATTGTACAACGTAAAATTATGTACCTATTTATTGCTTGTAAATATACGTATATCTTATAAATCATTAATTAGTTTTAATTTGTATTTTAGGAATTGCAGGTTATTGAAAAATAAAACTCCTCATTATTAGAAAATTTAGTTCATAATGTATATCAATTTTCACAATATAGCCTTTGCCTTATTGGTTATAAAAACAAAAGTAAACATAAACCTTTTACAAAGTCAACGATAATACTTTCCCAGAGAATAATAAGCACCATTAACAACTGAAGCAATTTGTTTTTTTAGGTAATGGATTTGCATAGGTTTCTCGTGAACCTGTAGCGTTAGATAATAACAATCATATTTTCAAAAGTGCAAGTTCAGAACAGAACGGTGTTTTTAAATGTAATATCTATAGAATGAAACAGTCTTTTCTTCGACGAGAAAGTTTTTCATTATTTATAGATGCCTCAGTAATTAACCTAAATTTTTTAAATTTAAAAGATAATGAGAGCAAGCCTGACAATGTGTGTTTAGTAAACTAACGCGTTTGTATAGAATATTGTATATATAATATTTAACAATATAACTTAACAATTATTTGGTTTAGCGCACAGCGTGTTTAATAAGCAAATATAACAAGTAATTAGGTTTTTAATTAGTGTCAATGCGTGCGAACGCAAACAAAACCATTTTAAATGGACGCACTTCCCCAATATCAGTTGTTAAATTAGTTGAAGCTTTAAAGTCTCAAATGACAAAAATTATTAATAATTTACTAATATAAACTAACTTTATAACAAAATCGCAACCTATTTTTTTCTCATACTAAAGCACTACATAAATACCAACCGAATTAAAGTAAAACCTAAGTAAACATTAGCACTAAATGTTATTTAGTGATTACTTTAATGAATCTAATCATAATTCTAGGAAATGAAACTATTTTTTCGGATCTAAATCGCGTTGTGTAAAATTGCGAAAACCTAAAACTCCATAATCATAATTACTTCAAATCATAGTTGGTCTACAAAGCACTTGCACAAAATGTTATCTTTTTTTCGTCAATAACGAAGCAAGGAGAGATTCACTTGAAGTTTGCGTTCGCGCGAATTGTGTAAATAGATTTTGGTTACATAAAAAAACAATATATTTCGTGTTTTCGTATAAAAGTAAATTATAATTTAACTGACAGGCTTCCTCTCTAGATATAAAAGCTTATGATATAGTGAGAATCGATAACTACTCGACAGGACTAGACACTAGATACAGAGTCTGAAAATGAGTATACAGACACACAAAGAAATGCATGCATTCGTCTTAAAATAAATGGAATCACTCTATGACATACGAAACAAAAGTTTCTTCATAGTACATATATACAACGAAAGGAAATCAATTCATAACATACAGAGGGATTATAGCGGATGTCTAATTGTTTGTTTATAGGAATACATACATATTTTCGCAATGAGTGTACCGACGTAAAAATATCGACTGGCATCGGCATTTTAAAATGAGAGATCATCTCCAGACTGGATTCGAGACAATTGTACCAAAAGACAACTCCAAAGTGTTGATAGTGTATCACAAGTAATGTAGTTCCACATCTAATATGGAAATTATCCATTCAAAAATGAGGTAAATATACCACCACTAAAAAAAATAAATATTTTGGTGTGCTAATACTTTTAGTAAATCAAGTTCGCTAAATTAGTGTTAAAACAAGTTAAAAATCGAGGACTAATGAGTTCTGCAACAGTGGACGGTTACCTTAGTGACAGTTTTTTTTAAATATGAAATAATCGCTATTTTCCTTTATCGAAAGTAATAAAGAATAGTGATGCGTGCTGTGCCCATCTCTATAAAATGCACTGAAATGACAGCTGCCGTGTGGTTGCATATAGTGCACGGTTGGTTGTTCGCTCGTGTGTGTACTACGTGGATAGCGTGTATAATAAAAAATCTAAGACATAAAATGTAAAAAGAATAAAGCGCTTGCTATACGTCCTTATGGCATTGATAATGGATTAAACTTTCAATCTACAGCGCTTACACTTTTACTTTTCTGAGAACAAGTATCGTGTGCGTGGTGTGCGGTGCGAGCGAACTGTGTACAGCAGAAGTTTTATTCCGGCTCGGGGGAATCAGGCGCGTCGACGGCGGCGACGGTGGTGCCGGCGGCTGCGCGCACCTTCTTCAGGTAGCTGACGCTGTCGAACTCCAAGCAGCTCTGTCGAAACGTTCATCATTCATATTTTTAAAGTTTTCTGTATTGAAATTTGCTAACCTAACCCTAATATTAAATTAATGTAATTTTCTGTGCTTCAGTTGTTGAATACATACTTGAAAAAAAACGCGATTTAGCGATACAATATTAAATTATATTATTTTATAATATAGTTAGCTTATAATCCCACTGCTGAGCACAGGCCTCCCACAATGAGAGGCTGTAGTTCGTATGCGGATTGGGAACTTAACACACATTAAATTGCTTTGCAGATGTGTGCAGGTTTCCTCACGATGTTTTCCTTCACTGAAAAGATCATAGTAAATTAAAAATTAAATTTCGCACTACCCAAACGTGTATGCCCGGATTCAACCCACAACTCTCTGCACAAGAGGCGACAGGTCAAACCATTAGGATACTATGGCCTAATGGTTTGACCATTAACACAATGTTTTTGGTATCATCTTTTTTTCTAGAATTTTTCCGCTCTCTTTTCCGAGAGTGAAATGCAACCAGCTATCACACAAGATGGGCAATAAAAAAACGAAGATATGCCCAGATTGAGTCATTGGAAAGCAATTCCGAAATACCATCAACCCAAGCCACTACTACTACACAATCCCATTCCCACATACTTGAGGAAAAGCTGTATAAAATAGGTAACTTACTGTACAATTCCATCTGTTAGTCTGAGCAGGCGTTGCATTATGATAATGACGTGTAGTGCACAATTATTGTTAGTAAAGAAAATTAAACATAAGCAAACAAATCTAGCATTTTCTGCAATAGAAAAAGCTAAAGGTTGTTTACTTGCCTGAGTAAGGAATTAAGGTATTAGTCACATAGAGGAAAGCAGAACAGGCAAAGACAAGCAGTTTTTTAAATTTTATATTTGAAAAATCAGAAATTGACAAATGAACACAATACTAGAAATTTTTATACCTACTCAAATAAAAAACAATTACATGAACAAATAATAGATCGTCAACATTGAATTTTGAACTTCACTAAATAAGTATTCAATTCGAAACATCCTTAATGGTGTCTACCTGTATCGAACCCCTCTCGAGTACCCATTCTATCCGAGCAGCATGAAGGAAAACAAATGAAATTTGCATTAGCATCAAGTAAATACTTCATAAACACATTCAAAACTACATATTCACTTATGTAAACGCTCTTCATATAAAATTTATCAATAATCAACAGACAATAAACATTCCTATATAGTAATCTTAAAAAATTCCCTTTACACTCAATAATGAAAAATATCATTTTCAAAAACTACCATTAAAGATTTAGAAGACGTCTTGAAACAAATGAGATTCAAATCGAGACAAATTGTGAGATTCAGCGTCTACGATGTATGTACGTATATTATTGAAATGTTGTGGTAGATGGTAGTGTTTGAATTAAGACTACTCTATGCCCCCGGACTCTGTCGGCGGCCTCGCACATGCACTAGCGTCAGTCTTATCACGATAGCCGTACAGCTTACTCTAATGAGATCAATCAAATACTCCTAATAGTACGAGTTACTTATTATTTATAGTGTTATGCTTAATCAGTTAATAGTGGCGCGCAGAGAGCCCGGGTGCGAGGGCGACAAGTGCATCGCTGACTAATGACTTTCAGGTCAAGCAACTAAGCTACGAGAATACAAATACACTAAAATTTGCTTTCCCGGAACACTCAAAATCTCCAAAACATTCGTAGATTAGTAAAAATGGATAATGCGTTAAGTAAAAGCACAAACCAGCATAAAGTGCGTATAAAGTACTCGGCGGAGAGCGCTCGAACCTGTTCCCGTAGATATCCATTCTTCGTGCAAGTTAATCTCGGTTTGCCAACACGAAACCGGAAAACTAGCCAAGACGGAAACTAGTCGCACACAACGTCAACACCTAACGACGACAACGGAACACGTTCGAGCGTCTCAGCTCAATCGTACAAAAGGCGAACGGGCGACGACGCGAAGCGAAAAAAAATCTCAAACCAAAGCTCAACTTTCTTCGAGATAAAGAATCGGACCGCGCCGTCGCCTGGCGGAAGCGAGAAGGGAGGAAGGGAGAGAGGTTCCAGTCGAAGGAGCTTAAGCCTCGTCGGCGTCGCCTCGACCGTCCTCCGCGGCGGCGGGTTCGAGCTGGGAAAGGAAAGGTGGGCACAGATCGGGCGGACGCCGCGCGCCGCCGCCCGCCGAGACGCTCAATAGAAGTTGCGGCACAGCAGCGCCGCCAGGTAGTTGGGGTGGTGCAGCGGCGCCCACACGCGGAAGGGTGTGAGGAGGCGCTGCGAGGGCGCGAGGGCGGGCGCGGGCGCCAGGCGCCGGGGCGGCGGGGCGCGGCGCGGCGCCGCCAGCGTTACCTTGCGCGCGAGCTCCGGCGGGAACGCGGCCATCCCGGCCGGCGGCAGCTTGCTCAGCGGCGAGTCCGCGTACTGCACCAATGTCTCGTATGTGTACGTCTGTCGCGCGCCGCCACCTGCAACCACCACTACCTCTCAGCACCGCGCCGCTCCCCGGTCGATTCGTCGATTCGACTCGGTCGATTAACTATCTCACAAGCGCTCGCGTCGTCGACCGTTCGGGACCCGCTGGGAAGTTTCAAGCCGAGCGCGCTTTCAGTTCACCGGGTTGGGTTAAGCGATCGGCGCGAAAATCCATAGCGTGTAGCTCGGTAATTATAGAACTTAGTAAACTGCTGTTAGGGTAACAAATTGCTAAGTATTCGGCGTGCATTGCACATTAGTGTTTTAAAGAGGGTTTAGTTCACTCTCACAGTAAGCTTAAGCGAGAGAAAAAAAAACAAAATATACATTCAACTGTTTGTGTAATTGACTGACTTCTGCATATTTAATAACAATTAATTACCATGATGTGAGTAATGGGATGACATACGTAAAAGAAACTGAAATGGAAGCAATTAAACGGGTATTTTCTCGCAACTAAAATAGGGATTTAAAAAAGCATGCACAAATGTGATTTTATGTCGTAAAGTCCCAAAGATTCAATCACCAATCACATTTGAGCAGAGCGGAGTACATAAACAGCAGGGAATACGTAAACAGGGCTGCGAAGTGAGGCAACGGCAGAGGGAGACTTACCTTGGTTCTTGTCGGTGCTGGTGGCGCGCGAGAACCGCGGGCGGCGCGGCGTGCACTCCGCCTCGCCCGCTGCACAAGGGCACAACACACACGTACACCCAGCCGCACAGGCGTGATGCCTCACGATCCCACACCGACCAACGCCCACGAATCTTCCTTTAGGAGCGACTACCCTACCTACCTTCTTAACCGCGACCTCCCCCCGCAAAGTTAGTACCCATAGAAAACGAATAGAATAGGAATAATTTAGGATGTGAATAATATTTAATATTGAATGTTTGCATAGTCCATTTCATATAGGATGGGTACTGTGACATTTCAAATTTTTACTTTGTATGCATACTATTTTTAATTAAAAGAAATAGTACAGGTGTTACAATAACCAAAAACAAACAATTTATTTCAATTGGTAGATAGAAACTGAAATTATAAAGAAAAATAAATTACCCAAACTACTTGATGCGTAACACGGAATAATTAGGAAGATATCCGTAGAGATTTACACCATAGAATCGATAAATTGAATCGGCTATTGTGTTTCTCGCCTGAATACGTGTGCATACACCTTGTATGCGGGTCCTTTTCTATAGAGCTTTGCGTGATGTTTTTTAAGTAATTATTCAAATTTCGTTGCGTTGCTGTTGACTTTATGCTTTTTTGAAGATTTTTGGTTTGGTTGTTGTAGATTTTTTTGTGGTGCAGATATTTAGTAACTTAATAACATAATAATTGAATCCTTTTTATCTTATTTTTTATTTTTTCTTAAGCTATGTATAGTCTCTAATTCCCTCCTCGTTACAAACTATCTCGGCAAGATATTTAAATCGATATTTTTTCATTCGATTTTACATCACTGCATCTCTAGAAGCTTCAAATCACAAACGTCACCGTACCCATGCTATGTGAAATGGACTATAATAACTTCTATACCAAAAACTTGGAATGTATTACTGCTCCAAATCAATGGCACCCCAAGTAGTAACTTGAAAAATAACTTGTTATTGAATATTAATTAGGTGACAATGGTACAAAAAGCAATAATCGGCAGTCGCTCCCAAAGCGTTGAATTTCGAGTTAGAATGAATGTCGTTATGGCAGGTGATACCGGTGAGTTACGAACGGCTATGTAATAAAATGTTATGTTAACAAATTTGGAATACACGCTGCCACGACCGTGGATCAAAGTGGTCACAGTGTTTGAATAAAAAATATAACATGATAATGGCATGTAATAAATAAATACATAAACATAATACACGACCAACAGCGAAAATATAGCAGAATATGTACCAGAATTACACTAACGACAGTATGAATAAAATTTTGTTGGGACATGATATCAAATCGATGTCGTGAATATTTCAAATACATGCTTCAGTCAGTCGCTACTGTTTGGCAAAGACTAAAACGTTATAACTGCCACACTGTTATTGTGATAGGCAAAAACCTTCATGCTTTATCGCCAACTCATTGCTTCTAGCTACTAATTCATGCCATAAACCATTATAGTTTCATATTTCAAAGTAATCTGTAAGCTGCATCGTCGAAAAATATTTTCTTGAACTTTTAGGAAGATATCTTATGACTTTCCATAATTTATACTACTTATAAAACATTAAAACAATAGTTTTTCTATTTAGTATTGGAAAATAGCTGTTACATACATAGCTATTATGTATATTAATTTCAACTTTTTTATATTTGTACAATACACATTGACGGATCTTGCTCCATTCCGCTAGACAATATTAAAAAAAAAAGCGCTTAGCTGATGTATGTTTACTGTACAATTATAATTTTAAAAGGTTTGTCTTAGAGCGCATTCCCGTTGTCGTAAAACGTTTAATTTAACGCTTTTCGCGTCTAGCCTGTTCTCATATCATGACTATCTGTCGTGGAAGTTTATTGTATCGTTGAACGACTGTCGTGCTTACCTGTTCCTACTAGATCGTGACGACAATTTATAGGTTAACGGCAGCCGCCTTGTCGTTTGCACGACAGAATCGTTTGAAGCTGCGATTATCTATTGTCACCTTTATTGTGACTTTGTATTTATCGTCTGACGACTGTCTACTACGACTTTTCCCACTGTCACATTGTCACCATAATCGTAACGTCAAAAAAGTCGAAACTACAGTTAATCCTGTTGTCCTTTGCGTGAACAACTTATTTATTTCAATATACAAGCCACAAGACACTTCTATCGGTAGTCACGACATAATGAGAACGCGCCCTTAACCGTAGACAGAAAAGATTTAAATTGCTTTGATTATGTCGATACGTTTAAGGCTGAATTTATAAAACGAACTTTGCTTATGCAAAAATAGCTATTGCGAAAGTGAACTCAAAATTGCTTTAATTAAGATAAGATTTGATTAAGAAAGCTTAAACCTAGACAACGTTCGTTTTATAAATCTCAGCCATAATTTGTACAGAATTATGCCCAATAAACTCCACACACCAAACAAACGGTGTCAGTTTTGTACGGAGTCCCGCGTGTGAAGCTCGTAAGTTGATATAAAATAATGGGGGGCCTTTTGGAATTACCTTGCAGGTCCACTGCGTCGGCGCCCGCTTGCGCGTTGGGCGGCGCGAAGACGTCGTCGTCGGCGCCGTTGAGCGCGGCGTCATCGCGCAGCAGCAGCGCGGCGCCGGGTCGCTGTGACAGCGTGAAGAAGTCGCCTGACCCGGCACCCATCGCCTCCAACGCGCCCGCGCTCTCGAAGTACTCGTCCAGCACCAGTTTTGCAGTCTAACCCCGAATAATATATTAACACTGATTTAAACTTTCCGATTTTCACATTTTATTTGATTTTAAAATCGGGAGTTCCTTCATGACCGTGGACGTTGCAACACGTCCGAAACGTCGAGGTACGTAAAATATTATGACTAAAAACGATTAAGCCCCGCAACATGTCAAGTTCACTTATAATTATTTCTTAGGTTTTCGCGATTTGGTAACAAAACATAGGAAATGAAACTTTTTTTTACATGATTGGAATTAATATTAGATGACTTTACTATCTCAGTCAGTTATGACCATGGGACCTGTAACAGGCCCGAAATGATGGGTTTGTTTGATATACGCGATTTACACTCGAAAAATAAGTTTCATTTCCGAAATATAATTATTTTGTGAAATATATTCATAAATTTTCTTGGAACAACAACATGCTACCACTTGCAATGTCGTGACATGTGTTTGTATCCAAGACGAATCCAAACGTGTCAAATGTCAACCTCAAATAAACGTCACAAACCAATTCGTTTTCAAGATTTTTCTTTGTGTTAATTTCGTTTTCTCACTGTTTGTCATTTTTAGTCAAAAAGTAAAGAGAAAAATATCAACTAGCTTGGATCCATGAAATTTTCATACTCATAATCATGATAATTAGATTAGACAAAGAAAATATTTCAAACTGTGGCTGAAATACCCCGATAGAAAAAAAAAATGTATGGAAACTGGATATCCGTTTTGTTACTTTTATTATTTGCTTTGGAGTACACAAAACTATTTGCAATAACATATCAAGCGTTACCTTGACAAGATCCAAATTATGGCCCGTGATCTTAATGGAATGTTGCCCAAAAGTCACAGTGTACTTATATTCTCCTAATGCGGCGTCGTTCGTAGAAAAACTATGTAGTAAAGCTCGGGAATTGTGCGGGGATTTCTGGAATTCAAATACAACAATTTTTGTAATAATAATATAATCTCAGTACAGAGTACTAAAAAAACCGACCTCAAAAGTCATTCATCCCCTCGTTTGCCACTCTTAGAGGTGGAATATTTTCTTCACATTTAAATGGGACCACTACTTACGTACCCTCTTTCCAACAAAAAAAAAAAAAAGAATCATCAAATGCCGGAGTTATCGCGTAACATACATACATACATACAAAAAAAACAGTCAATTTGAGAAACTCCTACTTACTAAGGAGAAAGGTCTTATATTTGTTATATTATTGTTCCACATTCTGTTTTCAATATTTAAAATTTTATTTATAGGTAACAAAGTGACACGGAGAATGTAACTTATTTGAAACGAAGACCAGGGAAAAAAAACAGTACAGAGTACTAATACAACCAACCTCAAAAGTCATTCATCCCCTAATTTACCACTATTAGAGGCGGAATATGTTCTTCAAATTTAAATGAGACCACATCTGTGGTACCCTCTTTCCAACAAGAAAAGAATCATAAAAATTGGTTCACAAATGCCGTATGTTATCGCGTAACATACAACCAAAAAAAAAGGAATAAAAACATACAGTCGAATTGAGAACCTCATCCTTTTTTTGAAATCGGTTGATTATCAAAGTCACTTAAAACACGTTTTGAGTTAATATCGCCATACAGTTCGGTAAACGCTGAGCGTATTTTGCATAGGTGGGAAAAAGGCTAATAAGGTTTAATGTCGTGAAAAATTACGACAAATAATAGAATAGTAAAAAATTATTCATAAATGTTTTTTAGTAAAATCGAATTACATAGCGGTACATACATTTACGTCAGCATCGACTTTATTACAGGTAGTATTAAAATTTGTGCGTTTTACCAACATTTATAAGTTCTCCAAATTAAAAATTCTTTTTTACTAAAATTCTCGTAAAAATCAAATCAAAGTTGATTTGATTTTTACGCCGAGCAAGTAAAATAATTAATTAATTAACGAACGGTAACCGACCTCCCTCGGGCGAGGCGCTTCATCCGAGCCGGCCGAGTCGAGACTGGCGCGGGAGTCGCATAGCTGCGCATCCAGCGCGCCCTCCAGTCGCACCGGCGACGCGTTGCGACGGATAGTGTCACCAATCAAGTGCTTCGCGTGACTGAATGTAAAACAAATACTCTTCATCCCGAACAAGAACAAAACACAAATCATAACGAGACGACATGATAACAGACAGTTTAAACATACATATTTCATAACTGAAAGAGAAACTTTTTGATTTTTATTTATTTATTTCAATTTCAACGTCTTGGGCACGCAATGTTCAACAAACTTGATGTAATTTTTATTTAAAACATAAAAAAGCATGCTGTTAACTAGGCATAAAATCTCTTAATGAAGCGTGAAAATTATAATAAAACACTATAATATTATTAAAAGTTACTTTACACGGTTTTGTTAATAAGTTTCACCATTCAGTGAAAAAAATTCAAGATAAACTAATAAATTGATGTCATAAGTAACTTCGCACCACATTAACAGCCGAAATAGCTCAGTTGAGAGAGGGTTAGACTGAAGGTCCCCGATTCAATCTAGGGTTCCGGCAAAACTTTTTTTTATGCGTTTTGTCTAACCATTCAAGCGTAACAACGTATTTCATACATAACGGACGTAATGGTGACTTATGGTTCCGTTACTGACGTATTGGTGATTTGTAGCTCGGTTTAAGAACATTGCACACATGCACCATAATATTAAAGTTCATTGTGCTTCCTTGCGCAGATATTATGTAGCTTTAGGTGGCATTTCCGTAGATTATTAATGCATATTTGCGTTGATTTTTGAATCTTAATCATGAATATTGGGTGTTTTGTAGATAAATGAAATGTAAGAGATATTTCGTCGATTTCGAGGGGAGCATGTTTTAGGTTATAAAATATTTACGTCCTGTTTTAAAATTCAATTTGGTTTTAATTAAGTTTAAGTTTTAAAAACTCTCCCCTGAAAAATCTACGGAATCTCGCTCGATATTTTACAAAACATCGACGATGACAGTGTAACAAATTGATTTTAAGAAGCATTGACCTACTAACAAATGCACGTCGAGTTCGCGCTAAAAAATGTCCGCACCTATAGGGCATTAAAATCGCATACAGAGCGTTAATCCCGCAACAGTCTTCGTTTGTTCGACTGACGGCGCGGTTGTCAATCATGCAGTACTATATAATAATAAGTTGTAAACATTACTGTAGTAAAGTGTAAAACCAGGATTTTGTATCATATTTTCACTAAACAAATATATTGTGTTCTCATAGTTATCATTTAAAAGTGTTATTTTGTACAGTTGTATAGTATTTAATTTATATATAAATTAATCGTAAATATACATTACAAAAGCAAACAAAATAATTAAATAGCTAACTGTCTTTTTTGTACACATTGCATGCACAAAAGATGGGAAGAGACCCATTACGTCAATTTCCAGAAGCTTATATAAACTTCTTGGTCATTTTCAATTGTTCGAACCACAAGTGATTGAAATAAGAAAGTATAGAGTTGCTTTGATTTTAATGTTATTTTTAAAATGGTTTTTTATTAAATGTTAGCAATAACTAACAAAATACGTTTTACGGCTTGAGATTACCTATCAAAATTCAGAAAATACATTTGCCGGAAATAATGTTAGCTCGAATGTTCCTAATGACAAATGTATTTTCTTAGGAATATTATAAAACAAAAGCAAATTTTGTCTCTGTGAAAAGCATCAAGAAAGTTTTTTATTATAAATAGGTTTTCGGAATTACGGATATTTGAGTTAACGTTTAGTTGGAATATCGGTACCTACATTTCTTATAGCACGCTTATTTTCACACTTCTAATATTTGTATGTAAGTGTCTGCCCAACTATTTATTATTTCTTTATGTGAATTTGTACAAAATTCGACATAATAATATATATAAAAATGAAGTGATATTTACAATAAAGGCTGCTCCATTTCTTTTGTGTTCAAGTAATTTTCAGTCAACGCTAAATATGGTGCATTTTGTCAAGTTTCCAGTAGAAGTGGAATATGGTATTTTTGGGCCCTTTAAATTGTTGCAAACAAAATTAGGCAGTACTACAATGAAGTTACAATTTAAATTAAATGTTTTAGTTTTCTTATATTTCGTTACATGTCACTATGTTTGTATAGGTTAACTTCGAACATTTTTTTCGCGGTTTTTGTATTAGACCCGACGTCCATTTGTTGGCAGGTCAATGTTAAGAAGTGTATGTTATTTGGGAACTAGTCTTTTATATGCTAGTGCCCGTTCAGCAGTAGAACTCAGTTTAGTGATAAAAAGTAATGGTACTCACTTTACGTTCTCCTCATTGGGCCCGGTGATCTGAACGAGACGCTCCTTAGCACCAGGGCTCACTGTAAAACACAATTATGGTTATAATTTTGCAGAATGCAACTTGATTTTATTAATATAGTTGTTAATCGGCATTTTGTTACGTCAAGCCTTAAAGCTGAATGCGGTTATTAGGTGATGAAATCATGATGTCGTATCTCAGAAATTAACTCCCAACAACCCACACCCCTAAAGAATCTTATTAGTAAATTAGTTCAAACGTTCATATCCAATCCTTATCAATCCTTAATTCTAGGCTTTATTATGCTAGGTTAGACGCGAAATCTGAAGATTATAGTGTTTGTATACAATAGTACATAAAGTGACAAAGGTAGAGAGAGGTTGTGATGGGAAGAGCCCGGCAAACCATGCGAAAGCGCGCGTCGACCACACCGTGCATTCGTACCTCGCTGAAATGATATAATCGTGTCACTTAGCTCCTCGATCATGTGCACCCTCCTGCCCTTGATACCCATCACTGTAAAACCACAATACAACTTCAAGTACGCCGGTATCTAGCGCTCTGCACGACTAGCGACCATTTTGCAGGGTAACTACCTACATGGAGAAATTCCTTCTTTAGAGACATAAATTTCTTGTTTGTTCAATACAACCATTACTTCTTTTCCTTTACTATTTATGTTCTAGAAAGGCTCAAGTCTCAGCATATCAGTTTAACAATAATTTAACCGATTATTGTTACATTGACAAAAACTGAGTACTTATACAATGCATTGGAGAACCACATGGAATATTTTTAAAGAAACATTATCTTTCTTATCAAACATGCACCATATAAACGTAGTACGTAATGTAGCTAACTAAACAATACTACTAAAAGATAAGCATAACATTGAACTAATATCCATGCATTGTTTTCCCCCTTATTGACAATGCCTAATATTTAGCATGCACACTAGGACAACCCAGGTAAATTCTAATGACAAATTTTCTATCTGAAATTTGATAAGAGGAGAATTTAATGCTTAATAGTTTGTTTTACATACCTTTTCCAGAATCAGCGTTTCTGATAACAACCTCGTCCTTGGAGTAGTTCTTTCCGGGGATCTTAGTGGGCTTGGGGAATTTGCCAGAGGGCTTGATGACCTCGCCCGGGCCCAGCAGAGTGGGCGGCTCGGTTGGCGCAGCCAGCGTAGGGGACACCGAGCCGCCCATGCCCGATCCTTCCATCGTCGGCACCAATAGTGGCTATCATCAAACATTATGAACACTTAAATATCTAAATTGTTCATTTTTTGTGAAGAATATTATGCAGATGGCTGACGGCGCCACTGGACAAAAAGTGAGCTGAAGTCTCTTAACTCGTATTATAAGTTAAGGGACGGCCAATTGTTACTGGACACTTCCGCCAGAAGGAAGTATTCATTTGGAGATAAAAACATAAAAATAATACTAACTAAATGGGTAGTGTCTGGTGGCATACTTCCAAAACAGTCTAATGTTCATAAAACTACTATGTAGACCTTCTGATCACTGAGAACTAGAAACACAGGTAGGTGCCTAGAAGGATGGTACCTCCTGTGGTGTACCAATTGGAAAAATAGGAATGTATGTGGTGTAATTGTGCTGTTGCTTCGGTCACCCAAAAAAGCATTATGTGCAAATAGGTTGTAAGTCAATAACATAAGAATGGAGTGTTCCAAACTTTCTAGTAGTAGAAACAAGGCATCCTGAGGGTAGAACTAAATTGAAGGTTCTTGCACTCACTCTTCTAAATGCCATAAAGCACAAGATATACTTCTGCATCTCCTAAGCCACTGTTGACATTACAGGGCTGTAGAACAAACTCATATCTACAGTCAGCCAGAGGAGGTAAAAACAACAGAAAATAAGGAAATCCTATAGCTTTTGGCTAAGGGATGTAATTAGTAGTGACCAGACTAAATCAACTACAAAAGCTGGTTGCCTTGATGTGTTAGCTACTCAAATTTGGCATAAGCCACTGCAACAACAACAATAAAAGTAGTTTAAAAGATCATGTGAAATAATTACAAGTACTTGTATGTTTCAAATAATTTCAAAAAATTTATTTGAATGAACAATTTACCTCAGCATGTGTGCCACGGTGCCTATAATACTGACTCATGTAGTCGGATCCCTGCCAATGTTTGGCGCGCAACTCGATAAGCTCGAGAAGGTGCAGTCTAGTCTTCTTGTCCAGTCGTTCGTCTTGTGAACCATTGCGGAACACAACAAAATATCTGAAATTTAATTTTGAAACAACATTTGTAACAGGTGTTTGTAATCAAAATGTTTAAAATTTATAAAAATATTTTGTGTGAAGTCAAAATAATTTACTAGTATCTCCAAGTAACCTACAAGGTCTACTATAATGACTGACTTGGAAGTCATGGAGCAATATTTACAAAGAGAAGAAAATCTTTGAACACACTTAGAAAGTAGGTAAAAAAATAAAAACAGACCTATCAAGGAAGTCCTTAAAGAGGGCTTCGAGCTGAGCGCCATAAAGCTTAAGGTTAGAATACATGGTGGCCACATTGCTTTGAAGCGCACGGTCGTAGTTGCCCTGCATCATTTGGTATGCCACAGCCTCCGTCAAAACTATCAGATCATCAACTGCCAAACAAAGTACATTACATATAACAAACACTTTTGCACTCTCCCAAAACTCATGTTTGTTGGTAGTTGTTACAATATGAGGAATGTCAGAACAAAAATCTTTGACATGTTTTTTCTTTTAATGCCAAATGGTAGTTTTTGTTCATCTCTATAAATAATTTATCCAACCTGAATATCAACTATTAAAACCACTTTAAGAATGACTTTCCTAAACACAATGTGACAAATCCTTTCAAGGAGACTAGACGTAATTAGAATTAAAATTTATCAGATTTATCAGTTTTTGTTTTGAAGCTCCTCATATTAATATAAATTAACCAAAAACATTAGCATGCTTCATAAATACTAAATGAAGGTAACCAACACAGTTAGAAATTATGCATAGTGATGCTTAGCGAACCTAATCATTTACACACTTGGTGAGTTCTGAAACTAGGGCACATGCCACTTGAACAAACAAAGCATAATAACTGATGTTAATTGTTAAAAAGCAGTATAAACCAAATATGTGTTATTGTTTTACACAAAAGATAATTAAAATTTTAATAACATTTTCATCTAGAGTCAGACGTGAATTTTAGATTGTTACTTACATTCTTTTCATTGTAAGTCATGTAAAATGTTAATTACAAAGTAAGTGGGAGAAAGCAAAATATTTCTTTTGCTAGCTCCAAATTATTTGAAAATATAATAAAATTCTTACCAGAATTTATTTTGACATCCAGCACAGAGTTGCGGTTGTGCGCGGTGCTAGTCGTAGATTTCAGGGGCCTGGGTACCTCCAGTTTTTTTACCGTGCGTGTCATTTTCGTAAGGGTCGACATGGTGCTAAACAAACAAATAGAACATCATAATGTTGAAGTCGCCCGTAAAATGCGCGAACTAGACAAACGACAATGATAGTCACATTTTTGTTCAAGAATAGAATAATTATTCACAATGAACGTTCAAACATACGGAAAATCGTCGGGAAACTCACTCATCCATGGCGACTGCGCCTCGGTGCAGTGTATGCACACTAGAACCACTATTATAGCAAAATCGCGTGGAAAGTGAAAGTGATGACAATGGTCCTAGCGAATAAATTCAGAACAAATCCAATACGTGTTCATTACTCGTACACTGGTTTTTCGTGCAATAAAAAGGGATTAGCAGAAAAAATTTTGACTTTCAAGAAGATTAAATATTTTGCTCGATGAAAAACATTTAGACAAAACAATTGAAAACCATGGAACACGATGAAATAAGAAATAAACAAGAAAACTCACCTGGCTACGCCATTAATTCGCAATAAAAATAAATTCTCGTAGTGGCGTTATAAACTAAAACCGGTAATGCGTAAATCGCCTTTTGAAATCATTAAACAGAATATTTGAATATTGTAAAATTTGTACAATTTTTTATTGAAATACTTGATTAGCATTCTTTTCAAAGTTTTTTGTGACAAATCGCTAGATTCTTAACATTACTCTACCGGTTATTTTTATAAATCGAGAATGTAAATGAACAGTCACAGCACTATGCTGTCAAAAGCGATGTTGCCAGCTCAGCTATTATTATCATTTGGGGAATAGTAGATTTTTTTGGCTATAATTCGTCGTAGTTGTTGCCATGACCAATCGCAGTTTTAAATGAGAGCTTCAATAATTTTTGAATCTCAACTCTCCGCGTTCACACGTGAGAATCATGTTTCCTCTTTTTTTCTTGGAATGAGCATTGTTCAAAATATTATGTATACAGGGTGTTATAAAATCACTATCCACTTTTTCCTTTACGTAAGATTTAGTTTTACAACACATTAGCGAAATAAAATTTTAAAACAATAATCTTAATTTTTTTTTGTTATTTTAAAATTTAGTAGTTAGTATTTCCCATGAAAAGGATAGATGATGTATGTAAGACTCGAGAATTGCGTCAGTATAGAATAAATTGGCGTACCGTGGCCTCTGTTTTTTGGGACAAGGGCGTGAGCTTATGTATGTAATATTTCCCAATAATTGTTGTGCGTGAGCTTATGTACGGTTTCCTCAAAGTAATAAATTAAATCGGTTCTTCGACTGGCGCTGGCTTGTCTAGCAATTGCACATTGCCGCGAACGCGTCGCCAATACTTTTGGGACTTCATTGCGTAACAATATATTCTCGTCGAGAGTATTACGAGTGGTTCATGTTCATATCGAAAATGATTGGAGACTTCACGAAGTTCGAAGACTCTATGAGGTAGGAAGCGTCCGACGTGTACCAGCTCAAGGCTTGGTGGATATAAAACAATGCCTTTTCGACCACTGCCAGCTTAAGTTATCCAGTAGCGAATGCCCGTAGAAATAGACGATCAAATGCAAAATACGACAAATTTTAATGAGTGAGTAAGATCGGCGTACTGCCCGCGGCGGACTAGTATCTTGGTCTCCCAAGTCATCCGACCGCACACCTTGTGATGTTTTTTATGAGGCGAATGAAGTTAAAGCCGTGGCGACCTAAAATCAAACATTATTGCAACCATGGGAAATGAAACTATTTTTCTGGATTTAAATCGCGTATATTTTTTTTTCAAACAAACCAACGTTTCGGATCCTTTACAAGTCCCATGGTCAACCGTGATCATGAGATCTGTAAAGGGCCCGAAATGTTGGTATGTTTAAAAAAAGAAATATACGCGATTTAAATCCGGAAAAATAGTTTCATATTCTATATGTAACAATCGCGAAAACCTAAGTATTTGACGCTTTAAAAAGTGACCATGCACTGTTTCGAAAATTATGGAAGAACGTTAGTTATTACAAATAATTAAACGGCCAGACATCTAGTAAATTCTCATCCAGAGCTCACTGATCTAGCCATTCAGCCACCAAAGTCAATAAATTCGCGCGGTGATTCCTACCACTGCTGTTGCTATAGGAATGGCGTCTATTTACAGTAGTTTATGCATCAATATTAATCACATTATATTTTTTTTTTTTTGGAAATCGTTCAGCCGTCTTAACTTATTTATTTGCCAAGTCTTTGACATCTTGTTTTTTTTGTCTGTTATACAGCATGTTCCTCTAAAATAGTCAGGTTTTTTTTATCACCTGTATAGAAGAAATTCAGATTTAGACATTCTCTTACATACATATAATAATAATATTGAGCCAGACAACCATACCGGTTGCCTAGCTTCGAACTAGCGAATTCCTTGTACGAGTACTAGTGTAACGAAATTCACTCCGGTGTCTACTCAGAATTATTTGCTAGCCCCTGAACCACTTTTGACCCTTCCGAAAATCGGATCCGTGACTTCTTCATCTATCGTTCACAGTGCTAAATACTATGTTATTGAGCAAACATATTGATTCAAAGGGCAAATAATTTTATTTAAGTATTTTTTGCCATTCTGTGAGTATTTTCATGCCATCATTTTGTCAAAACTGTTGGGTAATCGTTATGGGTTTACGGGAATATTAAGCATCTGGAAGATATGGAATATACATCAGAAATCACTGGAAATCATATATGAGTCGTATTCCAGAACTCTACTCAATGCTCAAGTCAGGACTTGAGTATGATTTCAAGCACTGAAAATACGACCCTAATGGCAATGACTTGAGAATGAATGTCTAGTGCTTTAAATCATACTCATTGAGCATTGAGTACAGTTCTAGGATACGACCCTATGGGTCGTATTCCAGAACTCTACTCAATACTCAAGTCAGGAGTTAAGTATTGTAGTGAGCACTGAAAATCATACTCAAGTCCTTGCTATTAGGGTCGTATTTCCAGTGCTTGAAATCATACTCAAGTCTGTTCAAGTCCTGACTTGGGTATTGAGGAGAGTTCTGGAATATGACCCTCAGAATCGAAAAACCAATCGACGTTGAATGACAGGATTACTTTTTCTTCTACGCGACGACGTGCTCCAAACACTAACAAAAAATATGGTAGATTTAATATGGGTTGTTCAATGCCTATGATGGTAGTTTTTGCATTGTGGCTGTGGTAATAGATTTTCCGAAGTGTCACTGCGGGCGTGGAGTGTGTAGATCGTGTTTTTGTTCAAAAAATTCAACTATGCCGTAAAATGTGCGTAAAGTATGCGAATATATTTTATAGAAAAATACTATTGAATTATGACTATAAGCTTGAAGTGGTTGTGCACAAATGAAGTGACGTAATTAATTTTCTATTCTTTTCCAACTTCAAATAAGGTACGTGTATATTTTCCTATTCAGAATTTAAAAGTTACTTTAGGTACAGTATAGTAGGCGCTCATGATTACAAAAATATGCAAAATCCAACCTACTCCGCTAAGTGGGAAGGGCTTTCGATAAATAAATGATATTGTAATTTTATTCTTGGGGATACGCAAATTTCGATAAAGTGGAATTATTACGCATTAAGTATTTATTTTGCCTAATATACGTTAGTAAATTACACAACAAAGTAAATAGTATAACGGCAATTTAGGTATTCGTTACATTTTTATTTAATTAATTAAATTTTATCTGTTCAAGTTCATATTAAATGAATAACATTAATAATTTAAAACGATGATTAAAATTACAGATTGTATGCTATTAAATAAGGTATAAGTACAGAATGATTTATGATGTTATGTACCTATGTATATTTTGTTGTACTTTAAAATATCTTCCTAAATAAAAATTGAAGTCTTGTTGGAATTTGTGATATATTTTTTTATCATGTAAATAATACAGGGTAAACAATAAATAACTATATTTATTTATAATTAGTATTGAATTTATAAAATGTGTAAGTTTCTAAAATCGACTTGTTCATGTTTTTTGTTTTTTTTTTACAGTCAACAACATGGCCACATTCTACTTTTTTGTAGTGCTGTTGGTGCGGGTGGTCCTACCTGCAGGGTTACTACTAAGTTAGTATATTTTTTATTAATATGTCATTATTTTTGTACTCTTTTCATTTTACTAACATTGGTTGAATAAATACTTAGATATAAGCCTCTTACTATCCCATCTATGTAACATTATGGTAAATGCAATAAAGAATTGAATTGAATTGAATTGAAAATAACAAATGTAAATTGTACAGATCATAATGAAACCTTTTATTATTACTATGGAAAAAAAACACATCTTGATAGTGCAGTGAAAGTGTCTAGAAAATATAATGTTGAACCAATGCTGGTAAAATACAGTGTTGCATTACAACTAATTGTTGGGTGTCATTTTTAAAACCTAATTTTTTAAATCAAAATAAATTCCATAATTTTATGTCATGTCTGGGTTGAACAAACTTGCAGAACTGCCTATGTAATGGAAAATCATATGGATTACTCACTTTGATATTTAAACATAAGTTACTTCATTTTAGAGGGTAGCTATTGTTATAATATAATTATACTTGTATTTATAAGATAACCATCTTCAAATACTTCTTGTGGTAATTTAAAATGTAAACAATTTTCATACAGCTGCATATATAATGCTTTTTCACCATTTCGCATGCTAAGTACGCTCTGAATTTTTTGTCAGTCAATGAGAACTTGTAGCTGTTAATACATGTGGTATTTGTTTATTTCCCAGATGGTACCTTATTCCATAAAAATCATTTTAATTTCGCTTTCAAATCTGTATTGTACATATTAGGTACAATAACAGAGTTTTGTGTTACTACTGCTAGTAATATAGTATGGGTTTAGCGTATTTTAAATTCTTGCAGTGGTAGTGACGTAAATCTGTGGGAGCTATCGGTAGGCCGGCGACAAGGGCTCATTCGATTCGGAACACCGGTCGCTTTTAAAGCATTTTGTATTCCGTCAATAGTACACGCAACTTTGATGAATATCTTTACTAAAATAAATCTTACGTCATATTCACCAAAAATCGAGACTTGCGTTTTTTAAAAGTATCTAATAGCATAACAGAGTGGCACTTCTTATTATAAATAATTCGTCACAGATTACGTCACCTCATCCCATTACATTAATATTCTTTTGTAATAATTTTATAGGAATTTCCTGAATTGTGTAATCATACAATTCAGGAAGCCAATAATGTATTTTGTGGTGCTTACATATTAAGTACTCAGAATATTTTAACACTGCTCAAGCGTAATATAACCTTTCTGGCCTGACATCGAAAGTTGATAAATTACTTTGTTTAAATAATTGCCTGCAATCCTAAATATTTCTCTGGAATGTAGGTCGAGTAATTGAGCACTCGCGGCTTGCGCAATCAAGCTTTTGACTCTCGGTAACATATAAGTCCATATCAGTCGAGATTTGAGAGCACGCATCGTCGCATTGCGGGGAAGGAGTAATGTATCCTCCTGTCGGCGCGCCTTTAGTTGGTCTGATGGGCGCGTCCTCGCGATTCGTACTCTGACCTGATGACCGACATGCCTTGCCACCGGGCCCGTTGATAGGGGTACCGTGAAATTTGCATGCGATTCGCGACACGCAATGCTTGAAATCTGAAAGATTTTCACGACTTTCTAGTTACTAGTATCTACATTTGTTTTTTGTGTCATTTCTTTTATTTATAACTAGTCATTCGATCGGAAGGTGGTATTTATTGGTTAAGTAAATGTAGCAAATTCGAATAATCATTAATTTTATTTTTGGTCTAGAACATCTGCCTCTACTTGGGGGCTATTAACCGGCGCGGCACCCTGTCGGTCGGCGCGAAACACTTTTCCCAAGGTTTACAGTTTTAATGATCATCGTCGACGTCTCACCGAATACGTGCTTTGCTCATAAAGGACACGCGTCCTGCCTGACCCTAATTCCCCTATGGCCCATAAATCCGACAATTTGGAACATTACCTGCCCGACCCTCTGTTTACAACTCCACCTAACGAATTCTAGCCGCTAACGTACGTAATGGAAAAGCCATGTTGTGATTTCGAGTAACCCATAAATGTTCGTATAGTTGGGTAAGAATTTTGTGAAAATTCTGTATCTTCAAGCATTTTCCGCCGAGGAATTCGTTTAAGTTTCGCTTTTGATAAACGAGTTCTGCAGCCCGATTTTAATGTTCTTTAATCTGCTACTATAAGGCAGTTAACGACGTCGCTCTACGTTCTTTTTGATTTTTCTTCTTATTCGGTATTTGAACTTGCTCATCTAATTACCAGTTGTTGAATACAAGGTTGTTTGTAGCGTGATATTTGGTGAAATATTAAAGTACCTACCAAGACCTTGAAGCTCGAAACAAAACTACTTTTATACTTAATAATTCCTTGATTACGAACGAAAATAGTTAAATTACAATTTTCCGTTGTATAAAAACAAAAATCTACCTATTGATAAAACTGTTACTGAGAAACAGTAGTCTTCTTTTTGGCGTCGCTTATAAAGATAGGTGGCAGCAGAGCCGGCAGGTAGTCAATAATTTGCGAAGAGCCGGTTCCGAAAGTCCATGCGAACGGGTACATTACGGCTGGCGTGAGCCCACGATGTTTGCCGAACTAATGGGCCGCGCCCGCATCGCCAAATGCCATTAATTAAACCCTCCGACCCTTCGACACCGAATGTCGCCTGCTACAGTAAACCTCGATTGACAGAAAACACCAAATTTATGGACTTCACCACTTTAATTAAATTTCCAAGACCGTAAAATATTCATAGCCTTCCTTCTTGTGCCAACTGTATTATCGCAGCCTTATTGTATTTTTCATGAACTTGATTGTGTTGAAACTGTGCCAAGTGGATTATTTTGCGTCTTAACAAGTTCTGTTGTCTTAAGTTTCATCGTCAGTTCTTTCATATTCTGTAAGGTAGACTCATTGTTGCATTATGGCCAACCCACTATGGTATCCTCCTATTACCTACTCCTACTTGTGCCTCCATTACTATTGTAACTTGCTGCTGTATTTAAAAAAAATTCCACTTCTCTTCCGCTTTCGTATTCTATGTAATATGGGAACTATTCCTAAGGCCATTGCTTTAGGAATAGTTCCCATATTACAACTATTCCTAAACCAATGGCTTTATGAATAGTTCCCATATTACATAAAAACCATAGTATACAAATTAGGGGGTATAAACAACGAAGCTTGGTTTGACAAGATGTAGTAGAAACTAGTTTCAATCGTTATTTTAGTAGTTCCTATGTTCTGTGCTGTTACTCTTGAACTCTTAGAATTGGTATCGCGTGTTCATAAACTTGCAGTCAAATCGATCAAAACGATGTCTATATTAAAGGACATTGTACCGTTTGCCCCTTTTAATAATGAATCAGAATAATATATAAAAAAGGACTGTGGATCCACAGTATAGCACTATGCAGATGCTAACTATGGATCCATAAAAATAATAGGGGTTAAAGTATGAAATTGCCGATTTGTACTGAAAATCTAAATTGTTTATTTTTTAAATTTTTAACAAATTTATTTAATCAAAATAGTTGCCATTATTATCTATACATTGCTGCCATCTAATGGGAAGGTTATTAATGCCTTTGCGATAGAACTCCGACGATCTAGACTGCACAAACTGTGTGAAAGCATTTTGTACTGCCTCCTGGGAAGAAAACTTCTTGTCACGTAGATAATTGTCCAAATCACGAAAAAAATGGTAGTCCGTTGGAGCAAGGTCTGGTGAATACGGAGGATGACGAATGGTTTCTAACTGCAGTTCCTGAAGGGTCAAAATGGTTTCTCGTGCTGTGTGAGGTCTCGCGTTGTCGTGGAGCAATAATGGTGAAGATCGATTCATGAGTCGGGGCTGTTTTACGGCTAGTTTTGTCAACATGGTTCGGAGTTCGGCACAATAGACACCTGCCGTTATTGCTTGACCAGATCGGAGAAAACTATAGTGAATAACACCATGCTGAGACCACCAAACAGTTACCATTACCTTTTTATTGGTAAGTTTTGCTTTAGGACACTGTTGTGGCATTTGACCTGGGGTCAGCCATTGCATTTTTCTTTTCCGGTTATCATAAAGAATCCACTTTTCATCACATGTTACAATTCTATCCAATATTCCTTCATTACTGTACCGGTTCAACAAGGCAACACAAGTTTCAACACGCGTTTCTTTCTGCAGATCAGTCAAATCATGAGGCACCCATTTTTCGTATTTTTTTATTTTATTGATTTGACGCAAGTGAGTCAATATTGTGGGTAAGGTAACGTTAAACCATGCCGCTAATTCCTGGGTAGTTTGACTAGGATCGGCTTCCACTATCTCTCTTAATTCATCGTTATTCACCTGTGTGGGCGGTCTTCCTCGTGGCTCGTTCTTTAAGTCGAAATTTCCATCACGAAAGCGTTTAAACCAAAATCGCACGGTGCGTTCATTAGTAGACCCCTCTCCAAACGCAGCATTGATATTGCGGGCTGTTTCTGCCGCGTTAGTTCCGCGTCGGAACTCGTATTCAAAAATCACTCGAATTTTCGCAGTATCCATCTTTCTTGTCTAAATTGAATAACAAAAACAATTGAAAGTCGATATTCAAATGTTTCAAATTTAAAAAAAAAATCACAGAAACCATTTGAAAAAAGTTTCATTCGAAAACCTCAAACCATGAAGATTCTATGAAAATTCAAAGAACCTATTGCAATAAAACGGCAATTTCATACTTTAACCCCTAATATTTTGACATTTATTATAAATGAATTATGTGATCTAGGACCTATAAATCACGTTCTGTTTTAAATAAATAAGTAACCTGTAATTCTTTAAGAGGTACGTCAGATATCATATTAAGTGATCTTTAAAAAGATATAAAATCGATTTTAGGGAATAATAAGATATGGGATAAGGAAAAAAATGCCCACCTCTTTTAAAAATGTAGAGTTATACGAGGTTCTCACAACAGTCCCCTTATGTACTCGTACGTGTAATTTCACTACGGACCACCTCCGCCTTCGTATCGTGAACGACAAACCCCTATTACTTCTCCGGGG